GTGTGTGTGTGTGTGTGTGTAGTGTGTGTGTGTGTTGTTGTGTGTGTGTTGTTGTGTGTGTGTGTGTGTGTGTGTGTGTGTGTGTGTGTGTGTGTGTGTGTGTGTGTGTGTGTGTGCGTGCGTGCGTGCGCGTGTGCTTTGCTTGCGCTTGTATGTGCGCGTGTGTATGTTTATATGTGTGACCACATAATGGAGGTTCGTAGACACACACAGTTTTAAAATTTGGGAGTCCACAACAGTCGGCGCATTCAACATTCAACAGTCAACATACCTATAGCCACCTAATCATCACTGAGTGAATTGACACCGAATGGAATGCTCATGCTATCTATAATACTACACCGAGAATTTTAAATAGAGAAAATCAGCGTAATGATCATGTATAAATGCGGAAAATCATAGACACATATACGTTCAGAGGGGGCAATCGCCCCGCAATAATAGAGTCACCGGTGCGTTATTGTTTTTAATGGCGACATTTGCATGTCAAAGCGCCGCCCGACCGTATTTGCTTGCCAGCGGAATTCAAAGGTGCTAACCGTATGCCTTTAAACACGACACCTTCATTAACTTACGTAGCGACCAGCTGGTCACCTGCGGTCTCCATCTCGCGCTTGTAATCAGTACGCAAAGATTGCGCGTTCCGCCAAAGGGATGCTAAGTGTGAACAAGCCGAGAGAGCAAACTTGACACCGCGCGCACGCCGCCACTGCCAAGCTACGGGATGCATATCAGAGCCACGCGCTCTCTGCTGCCGACACCTGCAATAGAGACCTCGGTGATGCGAGGAATCCAATTAACATATTTGCTTCAAGATGGCGGAGTGTGTAGAACCAATGGTAAACACAACCATAAAGGCGTAGTGTTAAATTACCACGAACGGCTCGGTAACCTATAGCATTTACGCATGTCTTTGACTGCTACTGTGTAAGCGCTAATTAAGAAATTCTAACCATAGTATAGACCACTTTCGTACTAGTATAACCATTCCGCATATTCTTCTATCGTTCTTCCGTAGTTTCTTCTGGTGCATTCTTAGTTTGCTTATACATTTATTTCATTATTAGCTCGGTAATCACAAATTCGAATAGACACGTAATCGGCCATCTAAACAGTCTTCAAAATACGATCATTTACTGCATAGTATGCAGCAGAAATATAAAACTACTATAGTTACACAAGATTAATTTCTCAGAATTGGTGAATAAACCAGGAAGCACCAAACTGCAACAAGTACGAGAAAGGGATCACCTGTTATGGGTACGATCTATCTATCTGTCTCCCGCTCCCTCCCCCTCTTTCTCTATACATATATAAATATAAATAAATATGTAGATATATATATATATATATATATGTGTCGTGTGTGTGTGTGCGTGTGCGTGTGCGTCGTGCGTGTGCGTGTGGTGTGCGTGTGCGTGTGCGTGTGTGTGTGTGTGTGTGTGTGTGTGTGTGTGTGTGTGTGCGTGTCCTCGAATTTATAACAGAAGCGACGCAGCCGTTCTCAGAGGACACAATTGCTACTATCGCGCTTACGTAAAACGTAAAGCAGCGACGCCGACGCATTGCGCCAGCGTAATTTCAGTTTACTGCGCAGTAAAAACCCCGTCGTTAGGCTGTCATCAATGTACCGCCGTCACCGTTTATCGCCGGCGACAAGCTTGCAATCTCACGTTAAACCACTTCCTCGGGTGATTACGAACTAGGCGGCTCACATCTCTACCACAGAGCGAGACGACAGCGCCGACATCGCACGTAGGTGAGAAGATATTTTCACGTAAGAGTTGCTAGCACTAAGTGCAATGTCAGCACGGGTGACTATAGCGGCGGCGACTGTGTTACGATCTCCGCTTTGCTGGTTGTATAGCGACGTAGCAAGCGCGACGGGAAGACAGTGTTTTAACCGCTGACCTTGGGATCTCTTTGTCCTTTTGACTCTTCGTGGAACATATAGGGCCGCTACGACAACACTAAGGCTTTAGTTTCTGTCGCAGGGTCTCTCCAAAAACATAATCGCTCACGGATTGTAATTGTTAGCTTGGCATATTCGATACTGTAATTTTAATGTGTTATTTATTCAACCACGGGCAAAAAAAGGCGCGCGGAATATAACTCTATATGTGGTTGTCGCGATGTTTGGCGGTGTGGATGGGCGCGCGTCGCGGCGGGCCTACCACGCGTTTAGAACAAAGACGCTGAAATGATAATACGTCGACCCAAGACGTCTTTATCGTCATCTTTACCCCCGTTATCGTTGATCTTTTTCTCTCGCTAATCTTTTCTTATCCGGCCGCCGATCTTGAGTGCGGGCCCGATATAGTCGCGACAGGTTACACAAGCGCGCGCCCGTCACGCCGTCCGCCATTGTTCTAGCGGTGGCGCTGCCGCCCGCGTCGCAGACGCTCCCGCTGCCATAGACGCGCTCACAATGGGCTAATTGTGCGGTTATCAGCGCGACCATCGCAGCGGCCGGCTTTATCTTAACACTTTTGTCACGACGTTGAATAATGAAGACGTCGTTATCTTGGCGCGCGTGCGCGCGGGGACGGGACGATCGTGTGAAAGGGGACGGAGTCGCACATCTTTATCAGGCCCGATACACTCAGATAGCTGCACGAGATTGGAAATCGCGAACGATATCAAGGATAGATACAGGCGAAACGTGTGAACGAATCTAAGAGATTGGCCATCTCTTAGTCCGGCGTGTTGTGAGAGTCATTTTAGATCGGATTAGAAGATCAACAGTTGAATAATCACAAGCTAGTTGTTTCGCATTTATTTACTAGATAAACGGCGATCGTAGCACAAGATATGGAATATCTGAACTTGGCAAAGTCAGTCAATCCATTAAGAAACGGCATAACACAAGATTTTCTGAACCACATTCTAATACCAGCACTCATTGTTGTAAAGGGAACCAGTAGCTAGAGGGTAAAATCGTTCGCGAACCACAGGCACGCAAACATCTATAGTTTATAGGTAGCGTGAATGTCTGGTGTTGACCTAACACATGGTCGGTACCGAACATTATTACGCGCGATTATTTTTCAAAAATTGCCGGATTACGCATTTATAAATTGTCGCACCAATTACCATCTTCCTGCGCGCGTCCAAATCACCCAAATGCAAGCTCGTACCAACCGTTGTTAGGCAAAATAAAAAACCTCGATATTTTGACGAGCCGAGTCGTAAGATTTTACGCATACACGTATGTGCAGGCACGCACAGATGTGCAGGTATGGGCATGCAGCCACTCAGTTTCATACACATGCAAATACATCTCCATGTACGATCACACGCGGCTTCAGGATAGCGATTTTAATGATAGAGTCAGATACACCTATGCGTGTAAGTTCTTACACGCGCGCGCGTACAAGACGGCGCGCACGTACACGCATGCACGCGTATACGCACAAATCACGTATGTACGAGTACGGAAAAAAACCCTGACGGATATGGCATCTATATGCCATGTCCAATGACTATAGATAGACAGCACTGTTATCCTGACTCAGTGCTTGCGCGCTGGTGCAAGAAACCTCGGCATTTGTGACCGCATAATCCCACAGTTTCCATTCGTCCTGGTGCATAGTGTTGCTAGTAAATAATAATAAACTGCGCGAGCTCGATAGGTAGCTTTCTTCTGAAGCCAGGACGCCACTCGTAACTGCGCGGAAAATAGCGAACCAATGCTACAGAACGTTCTTTGAGATTAAACAATGGTTTACACACGTCCAGATCTTATGTTATCCTACCCTCTCACTTCAACTTATCTGGAAATCTGATCCATTAAAATATTATTTCAATGAGATGTTAGATTTTATACATATTATATGATATATAAATAGATAAGTTAGCTAGATAGTTACTATAATTATGCGTCAATGATATAATTATATTACACGGGTATGTCAGTTTATTAGCGCATAGGCTTGATATCTCACGCGTGGGGTAAGGACACAGGTTAACTGCTACCGTAATCTTCGATTATTTACAATGATTTTTGAATTACTAAATACAAATTACAATTTATACGTTCATACATTTTACCGTTTGTCTTGAATGCGCTCAGAATCCATAGTCACCACTATTGAGACAACAGTTGTTATGCACGCGTGTTATAGTTAATTGACCAGCCAATTTAAGATTCATTTACGAAAGTTTTGATGTCTGAAATAACAATTAATTTCGTCCAAAACAAATACGCGCGCACGCCGTGTTCCAATGCCAAATATATGGTTGCAATCAGGCAAGCAGTTTAGAAGGAATTCAGCGAAACACGAGCTCTCCCAAACATCACGCTAATAGTAGACGTGCGTAGGTTCACATGATACGATGTAGACAGAAGGCGTAGCCATACAATCTCCTTCTCTCCCTCTCCCCCCCCCCTCTTCTCTCTCGCTCTCTCTCTCTCTCTCTCCCTCTTTCCTCCCCCCCCCTCATTCTCTCTCTCTCTCTCTCTCTCTCT